TCTCTCTCTCTCTCTCTCTCTCTCTCTCTCTCTCTCTCTCTCTCTCTCACACACACACACACACACACACACACACACACCCTTTGAGGGAAATTTTCCAAGGAGGAAGAAAAAAAACAAAACCACACATGGCAAAAGTCATATATACAGACATCCAATGTAAGAGTCTTTACAAAAGAACATTGTAAAAGCCCAGGTGTTGGGATGAGGCATGAATGACTCCCTGGCTCAATGTTGTGGTCCTGGTTACATAGTTCAGAGGGTCTAATAATAGTCATATAAGCTCTAAACTAGTTTGAGTGAGCTTGTTTTTTTTGTCTGTTTGAGGGTGTGGAGTATGCTACAGATCAAACAAACCAGGCCTTTGTGTATAAGTATTCTATCACCAAGTTTACTCCTCAGTCCTGAACTTAAGTTTTAAAATTTAGAGCACAGACCTGTGTATTTAGTGTGTGAGGGCTGTCTGTAGCTGTGCAGAATTGAACATTCTGTTAACACCTCAACACTATCTTTTCTAAAAGGTGGGTCTAGAAGACACAGCTAAAGGAGTGTGAGTAGTGTGAACAGAATGCAATTTCTGAACATGACTAGCGTGAAGCTTAAACAGGACCTTGAATAAATCAACTTCATCTCCTTCCTAGGACACTGCCGTGTTCATTTAAGCTTAGCCTTAAGGGAAACAAGCACCCTACACCATAAGCATGATATTCAAGAACCATTTTTCTTTTTCTAAAACTCTTGTCTTCTGTGCTTGCAGAGTTGAGTTGCCAGGCTTTGGGGAGCTCTTTCTCCTCTTAGCACCCAACCTGTCCATGCAATGCACTCGCTTAACCAAGCAGTGTAGAAAAACAGTAGCTGTATGACTGACACACACACACGCATTCACGCACACTCTGCCAGACTGACTTTTGACTTCCTGGTTTCTACCTCAGCCCCCTTGAAGAGCTCCTCTGCCTCCAGTCCTTAGTTATCCTAGCATGCATTTATGAGGTACTGCTTCTATCAGATGTACTTTTACCTGTGAAAAGAAAGGCTGCTGCTTTTAATAAGCCAGATTTCAAGTTTGCAAATTTAAGCAGTTCCCCTTGCTCCTGTGTAAATCTGAGGCTGTCCCTGAAAGAGTGTTTTCATCAAATGAGTGGGAATTTAAGGGGAGCATAAACTTGGTTCAAGTTTTAGTTATTTTTTTTTAACAAAGTCTATGGTGTTTCTGGAGTGACAGACTTTTTTTACATATACCAAAATATGTTATGGTGTATAGCACTCTGACTTAACAGATGATTAAACAGATAACTTACTAGTGTTTCCCAGAGTTAAAGGATTAACAATGTATTTAAACCCTTTCCTTGGCTTCCACATGGAGTAGTCAGTGTAACTGGTTTGGTTTGATTATCATGTAGATGTGTGAATTGTAAGATCACAGGAGCAACTGATAGGGGAGGGAAAAGGCTCAGAGGCATTGGGTAGTGGAGCATGGTGGAGGCTCTGGGTGCCACTGGATGGGGTTTCACAGTGATCAGTCACCCTGCCTGTAGACTTGGTGTGTGCACTGGGGGTAGGGCTGCCCAGTGGAGTTGGGGAGGTGGAGCTGTGGAGAAAGGTAGGACTAAGTTCCAGAAATGGCTGTGTCTGTGCTGTATAGGTCTTTATTGTGATGGCCAAGGGATTACCAGTAGGGGTGTGAAGTGATGCTGACAGTATTAAGTTGATTAGTCAGCTAGCTGAAGGACGGAGGGAGGGAAGGATTTAGGGCAGGAACAGTCCAAGCAGAGGGTGAGGTTCTAGAAGATAAGGACAGGTGCAGAGAGAGAGAGTGTCAAGAGTGCACAGGTAGGACGGTCTGGCTTGATAGTTGAACATAGAAGCGGAAGGAAGTGGCAGTCAGGAAGAGAAGCCTGACATGGAGCGACCCTGTATGAACAGAGCTAGAGAAGCCACTCCAGTTGAATGTCCAACCAGATGTGCTCACATGGGCCTTCCCTGGGTAGCAGGATGGAGAGAAGAGCCAGCCAGCAGCTGCTCTAGGTTGTCCCCTTACCTCTCTCTAGGACTAGGGAAACAGAATCTAGCCATGCCTCAGCTTTCCTGCTTAAAGCGCAGTTCTGCCCGCCACTGCCAAGAATTGCGTTCTTGGGCAGATCACCAAGCTTGAACCAGAAGAAAGTTGGATAGGGCCTGCAATCTGTTAGTTCTGCTGTATTCAAGGAGAATGTAGAGAAAACAGGTTTTACTCAGTTTATGTTCACAAATGAATATAACCACCTTCCCAATCCTGATGGTAAGACTAGTGAGGTGCCCTACTATTTCATAATATGCCTGTTCCTCTTTCTCAGCCCCTAAGGAACAACTGAGCAGTGATGACTGCTGCTCTCAAGTGTAATCTTGCTGCCATAGTTTGACTTTTCAAGAGAAGCAAGATGCAGGATGGATTTGAGTCCTTCCTGTGTCCTGTGACTGTTCCCCAGCTTTAATTCATAATACAGTGTAATAAAGATCTAATGTGCTCTCCAGAATGACATCTTCTATTTCAAAATCTTCCCAAGTGGTACGTACCCCTACTCCATTTTTGGTGTGTTGAAGAACTTATTTGGGGACTGAAATCTCCAAATCTCTAACTTCATTGCTTCACGTCCAGTCATCTCTCCTAATGCCTCCTGGACTTAGTCTTGTCCTTCTGTGCTGGTGATCTGGAACCTACCAACCCAGATTCAGGAACTCAGAATGGTATCTTCCTCTCCTGTCTCATAGCCACATTTGCTTCAGCCATCATTGTGACTTCTGATTAAACACAAAATTCTTAAATGTGCTTAGTCACAAGAGAGTCTGGGTGAAATCATGAGTTTACAACCAAAGTCTTAGAGAAATGCCTGTCTCATCTCTCCCACTGTGGACCATTAAGATAGGAGTGGTTAGCAGAAGTAAAAGCCTTGAAGAGAACCCAACCAGGTGTACAGTGGCCACCGTGAGCCTTTCCCAGCCACATGCTGTTTGCAAGTGGACAGCATTCGAAAACTTAGTAAACTGTGTTGGGATTTCACAGCGAGCAGCCACCCTGTCTATTACTGGAGCTTCACTTTGCTATCTGGACTAGACTTGATCAAAATACGATGCTAATGTAAAGAGACTGATTATGTGAGTTTCGTGCTTTTAAGAATTTTTTATTATTATTATTATTTAATTTTTTGAGATGGCCTTTCTGTGGAGCCAGCCCGTGACTATCCTGGAATAGTGTTGTGTAATGTGCCTCTGCTTCCTGAGTGCTGGGACTAATTGTTAAAGGAGAGAGACCTAGAAACTGGATTTTCATTTTGTAGTTCTTTTCTTAAGCACTTGTTTAGATGAGTTATTACTGAGTGGTAAAATTAGTTTTTTTTTTTTTTTTTTTTTGTTTTGTTTTTCGAGACAGGGTTTCTCTGCGTAGCTTTGCGCCTTTCCTGGAGCTAACTTGGTAGCCCAGGCTGGCCTCGAACTCACAGAGATCCACCTGTCTCTGCCTCCCAAGTGCTAGGATTAAAGGCGTGCGCCACCACCGCCCGGCAAAAATTAGTATTTTTTAAGCAGTCCGTGGATATATAAAAATAATAATTTTATATAAAAAATTTAAGTGTTATAATTTGGCTTTTTATTTCTTTTGGTAACAATCTCATATAGCCCAGGTTTGTCTCTACCTCACTGTGTAGCCAAACATAACTTTGAACTCTGATCTCCCTTCCTCCACCTTCTGTGTGCTGGCAGTACAGGTATGCACCACTGCACACAGTTGATCAGTACTGGGTTGGAGTCCAGAACTTCTTGCGTGCCAGGCAAGCACTGCTAACTGAGCCCCAGCTCCAGTCCAAGTCTGTTATCATTTTGCTTTGTTTTTATTTTTATTTTTTACAGCTTGCATTTTATTAACTAAGTCTTTTAAAGCCACAAAACATTGAAGGTGTTTGATAGTTTGTCCCTAAAATTTTAAATATACTACAGAAATATGACCTGCTACAGAAATCTTCATTTCAGTTTGTCTCATGAGGCAGTTGAGGGGTGTTGTTCTCAAGGCTTTTCAGTGTTTGCATTTGATGCATTTTCTTGATTGTTACTGTTGTTTAGGAAAACTGAAGCTGTGTAACTCAGTAGATGCCAGAAAATTACTAGCAGTACATTGAGTTATTTGTTTAAAATCATATTTTACTTTGGCTGTCCATTTACAATTTCAAGTGATGGTATGTGATTATGAAAGATTACCAAGTTTTTTTTTCTCTTTTGTAATTTAATGTGAAGTTACTAGGAAAGTAAATTCTCACATCTTTTCTTTTGCTTTTAGGATTTTCTCATTCCGCGTTTACCTTTGGTATTGAGAGCCATATAAGTCAGTCCAATATAAATGGTGCCCTTGTCCCACCTGCTGCATTGATCTCTATCATCCAGAAAGGCCTACAGTATGTAGAGGCAGAAGTTAGCATAAATGAGGTAAGGCAGATGAGTTTCATTTCAAACGTTGATTCTGATTCTTAATGTGTTTATTTGTTCAGTATGTGACCTTGATTTCACTGGGTTCAGACAGATTAAGGTTATTGTTCCTAATGTACAGCAGGTTGCACCAGCTGTGCATGTGGGCTTCTACACAGTGACTGGTGTCCCTAGGTTATTCCTTTGGGGAGGGAGGGAGAGGCGGGACGGTTATGCTTTAAGTAAACGCAAGGAAATAATTTTTAACACATAAGAAATTTTGCTGTGTAGTACTGGGAACAAATTGATGGCAAGGGGTTGGAAAGCCATTGTTACTTTCATGTACCCTTATGGAAGCCAATTATATACAGTTGTTGCCAATTCTTGCTGCTCAGAACTGCATGTCTGAGGTTCATGTGTAAGTAGTATGTTTGTTTCAGGTATTGGCATGCTGCTGGTGCCTGAGGCAATCTTACTTGCTCCCTAATTCTATAAATCAGCTTTGTAACAAAGCCAAACTCATTTACTTTTGGACTGTACAGGTGGATACTGGGAACATGAGGTGCTGAGACAAGGATCTTACGGTCTTCAAAACACTCGCTGCCTTCTCTTTCCTAGAAGTCTGCAGAACTTTGCTCTAGCTAGAAAGTTTAATATATATCCAGGATTCAGGACATGTTGAGGAATTCCCTTTATTTTTTACTTGAGAAGTGAACATGCCCCACCCCCAACCCCCAAAGTAAATGGAAGGATTTTAGCTGTTTAAAGCAGTCCAGTCACTTGTTGGTATCCTCAAGGATGGGTCCCACATTGCCACAGTTAGCACCATCTGCAGGTGCTCTAGACTTACACCAAATGGCAGTTTGTATATCACACACATCTAGATCACGTGCATGGTGTGATTGTTACCCTGTAATGTTTAAAGAAAACCAACAAGGAAAAGATCTGCCCTGGTTCTGTACAGGTGCACGTATTTACTCCAAGGCCTGGATTCCGAGTAGTGATGGAGACGCTGCCTCCTTGTTTATGACCTAGTCTTCCTGGTTGATGTTTCTACTGGCAGCCTTCTTTACCTGAACTCTTTGTACTTGCATTGTATTACCTGTTTAAGCTTTTATGGGTGCCCTCTTAGTTAAGCAGGATCTAGTGAAGCGTCGTAGATGCTGTCTACATCTGCCTCTTGCAGTACTCTTCTTCCCTCCCCTCCTTCCTGTTAAGGCTCAGAAATTACCAGTTTTCCCCCAGAACGAAGCCCTTCATTCTGTTAGTGGAATGCATGTCACCCTCAAAGCTGCATCTCATTTTTCTTTCCTCATTTTCCAACCTCAGGATGGCACCTTATTTGATGGCCGACCCATCGAGTCTCTGTCCCTGATAGATGCTGTTATGCCCGATGTAGTCCAGACAAGACAGCAAGCCTACAGAGACAAGCTTGCACAGCAGCATGCAGCCGCTGCTGCCGCTGCCGCTGCAGCCACTAACCAGCAAGGATCTGCAAAAAATGGAGAGAATACAGCAAATGGGGAGGAGAATGGAGCACATACCATCACAAGTAAGCTAAGACTGTTTAGAGACTCTCAGAAAACACTTTGCCTTACCAGAATGTCCCATTCTTAGAGCTGAAATGATACCCAGTGTTTACCTCTATCCCCAACTTACATCACACAGTTCAGATTTTATACCTAAGGTTCCAAAAAGCTAAATTCACTGTATATTCCTTTTTAGATGTTTCTGAACCCCTTTTCTATTCTTAAATGAATTTACAATCTGCATTTGATTTCTAGGTAATATTTGCAATATTCTCTGTTAAACATATAGTAAGGCTCTGACATTGAGTAATCGAGATGTATCTCATGTTATATGAATGATATCAGCAACCCCTACTGGTAGAAACTCAGAATCGTATTGTTGTAGACTGCTTAAATCAGCCACTTTATCATCTCAGCCGTGCTGAGGTTCACTCCTTTTTATCCATCCCTTTTCTCGCTTGCCACTTCCGTATCCACTTCTGTGTGCATGAACACTCACACAGTTAAAACTAATACAATCACACTTGCTAGAAATGTGATTACCTCTGACAAAGACTGTTGCTTCTTATGATGCAGATAATCACACCGACATGATGGAAGTAGATGGGGATGTTGAAATCCCTCCCAATAAAGCAGTTGTGCTTCGGGGCCATGAATCTGAAGTTTTCATCTGTGCCTGGAACCCTGTTAGTGATCTCCTGGCATCAGGGTAGGTTTTTCAAAACAGCTTCTAGATGTTGGGTATTATTTTGTTTGGTTTTAGACAGGGTTTACTGTTTAGCTGAGGCTAGCCTTGAACTATTGACCCTCCAGAGTCCTGGGATTAATAGATGTGCTTCACTGTACAATGCCATTTAAGGTGACCTTACTGAGTGGAAAGCTGTGTATTTTTTTTATATTTATATATATATTTCACTTTCCAGAAACTTGTTGCTTCCTTGTGGTCATGTTGCCTTAGTAAATTAGTTGTGTGTGTGTGTGTGTGTGTGTGTGTGTGTGTGTGTGTGTGTGAAGTAACTTTAGAATTACTTGGTAGGAGCTCTAAAATGTAGAACAGGAAAAATATTAGAAACGTTTATGCCTGGTAGTCTAGTCTGCTTCTTATTCAGATGCTAAATGTATGGGTTGAATTCTGGAATGCTTGAGAGTGTCATGAGAATTGAAACCTGCGGTTGGACTTTGAAGGTCTGGAGACTCCACAGCGAGAATATGGAATCTGAGTGAGAACAGCACAAGTGGTCCCACGCAGCTGGTGCTCAGACACTGCATACGGGAAGGAGGACAGGATGTTCCCAGCAACAAGGATGTCACCTCTCTAGATTGGAATGTGAGTGCTCTCTTCTTGTTTAAGTGGTCTGTGAGTGAAGGCTCCATGTTCCTAAAGTCCTAATCAGAACTAAAAATACTTAGGAAGAGTTTACTTTTCACTTCCGTATTAAAGTATTTTGATGCCCTTCTAATCTATACCTGCCCCTGCCCTCACTCATGGGCATATGAAAATGTTCTGCAGAGGGATACTCTCAGTACTACTCCACAGTGGTTACTACCAGTGCTCAGATTTGGGGTGGGCCTTTAGAAGAATACTGGCTTCATCAGGGAAGGGTGATGCTCACCTTTGTTGGCACTCACACGTAGATAAGGGTCTCTTGTGCCTGGGACATATTTGTAGTAATTAAATGGCCTTAATTGTATAATGAACAAAATGTATTTCCCTGGCAGAGTGAAGGTACACTTCTAGCAACTGGGTCATATGATGGATTTGCCAGAATATGGACTAAAGACGGTATGTATTTTTCTAACTTTATTGATTTTCTAAGTTATAAAATTTGAAGTAATTTTAAAGGTTTTTTTGTTTTTTTAACTTTAGGTAATCTTGCCAGCACCTTGGGGCAGCATAAAGGCCCTATATTTGCATTAAAATGGAATAAGAAAGGAAATTTCATCCTAAGTGCTGGCGTAGATAAGGTAAATGAACATTTAGCTAAGCTCTATAAGGACTGTATTTGAAAGTAATTGTTTTCTTTGCTGATAGTCACTTAAACAGACTTTAGTTTATTCAAGTATGAATTAGTAGCAGTAATAGAAATAATTTCTTGTTGTCTGCTTGTTCTCCCGAATCGACTCATCATAGCTTTTGTTGATATGACCACTCTTCATTTTTGCTGGGATTGGAACCTAATGAGATGTCATCATGAAGTACTCTGTGCTTTCCCAGTTTATCTCAGTGGTGACCGTGGCTTTAGAGAGACTCCCGTGGCCATCCATGTTCTCCTGTGCTTATTGAAACAGTTCCTTCCATGCTCTGGGAAGTGAATAGAAACTGGTTGGAACTGGCTCCTCTCTCCTTCAGTCCCCCTCTGCCACACCTCCCTGAAAGGAGGTTGGTTTAAGACTTTTGATTCAGCAAAGAACAGGCTGGATGGATGCTGGGGGAGGGGGCATGAACTGGCTTAGACTTAGAGTGTTAGTGAGTGGTTTTAACAAAGGATGCAGGAGTCTGGGGATGGAGAAGAGCCAGTACTTGTGTCTGTCCCAGGCAGCTTCAGGACCTGCCTGTAGTGGTGTCAGAAATGTAAACAGCCTTTTTTTATTTTTTTGTTGACCAGCTTCATAAAAGAAACGTTTCAGTATTTCGAACTAGGTGATTTCACTATAACCTTATAAGTCCAGAGCTGTAAAAACTCATATTAAATGCACATTGCAGTGAAATCTTTTAAGCAGTTTAATACAATGTCAGACACTTTGTTGACAAACAATAATTGTTACTGAAAGTAAGTTGGTGAAAAATCACAGGAAAGTTAAACTGCATCATGATCATTTCCCGTGACCTGAGTGTGAGTGTAGATGGCCTTGTGCTGGGAGGAGTCAAGACCGTGAAGAGGAAGTTCATTCTAAAGTTTCATTCTGCCTCAGGACAGTCAGGCATCCATTCTTGAACTCACACACTCTTTAACATCAGAGAAATTAATTTTTCTTTTCCTTTTAATCTCAGACTACCATTATTTGGGATGCACACACTGGTGAAGCTAAGCAGCAGTTTCCTTTCCATTCAGGTAAATCTTGACAATGCACACGGAAGGTGAAGCGCTCTTCTGTTTCTCTAATTAGAGTTTTGGCCTCGTGGAAGTCATTCAGGACCTTGAGTGTCAGGCAGCATTCTTAGTGCCAGTTCTCTTAGGAGGTGTGCCACAGCTTTCAGATGGTTCCTTTTCAGAGGATCAGCAGGTTTTCTGTGAAGTGTACCGTAAAGAAAGCACCCGAGTGGTGTGGTTAGGGGTGGTGTTGTAGAATTGGAAGGTCTGGCCATGAATGTACATTCTCCACTTGAGAAGCTCCCAAGTCACTTAACCTTTGGAGCCTCATTTTCACTATATGTAAGTGAGGGTTCTTGATAGCTATTTATTTATTGCAAGGATAAGAAAAATGTCTTAGGTGGGAATAAATTCAACTATTAACAGGTTTACACATTGCTGTCTTATGCATTTTTGATTGATGTGTCTGTGCAATCAAAGATAGGCTTTCTCTGTCTTCTGTGGGTTTCTTCCTGTGCTGTGTACACCCATGTTCTGGGCAGGTAGCTCAGTGCCATCAGTTCCTTCAGCCTGGAACCACTGCACCTGTTCTGATTGACTAATTCTGTTATCTGAGAAGTAAGGGAGGATCAAAATCTTGCTACATATCCCAGGCTGGCTTCAAACTCATAACACTCTTCCTTCTTCAGCCTCTAGAGTATTGGAGTTATAGGTGTGTACCATTATGTCTGGCTTCTTAGTGAATGTCTTGATTTCAGTGACTACATAATGTTGACTGCAACAAGATTCATGAGGACGGTCAGAGCAGTCGTTTTAGCATTACCTGATAATAGTTGCTGCTTGGAGACTTGTGCTCTGAGGTTCTACACTGGAAACTGAGCAGGTGGCGGTGGTTATCATCCTCATGTCTTTAGTAATGAACGGCCACTTACAAAGAGCTAGAAGTACAGCTGTGGCCAAACAACTAGGAGCAGAATGGTTTTCAGTGTGATCTGGGTAGAGTGGTTTGCAGACGTTGTGTTAGACACCGAATATTTTAACTCTTACCAGAGCTTACCACACTGATTCACATTTATACAGCACCCTTATTACCTCTTCTGCTTCTGTTCACCCTGGCTTCTAGTCCTTTCCCAGGTAGACTATTCTTTGGTCTCTGGGTAGTCTCACATTTCTTCATACTTCCTGGGAGTGATATAAAGTTGGGGGGGGGGGGGGGGGGAACGTGTGCATGCTTAGCCACAGTGCAATGAACGCCACCCATTTAAGGTGTTCCTCAATATATTTTCTCAGACTTCTGACCCGAGCTTGCTGAGGGATAGAATTAAACCTCTGACCATTTGTTCCTACCTCGTGTATGCATGTGCACATGTGTGTTATGCGATACTAGGCTAAGGGATATGATACTCTTTTATATAGGAACCAGAACACAACGAAATAAGAACCTGAGAGGGAGGGGTTGGGATGAAGAGAGAGAATGGGAGGGAACTGAAGTTTTTCAAAATAAGAAGTTTGTATTTTAACAAAGTTCTGCTGAGAAATAATTGACATATAATGGACTGGATGTATTTGCCTTGTAATTGTTACATATGTATATACCATTGAAATCACCATCACACTGAAGGTACAGATACACCTGTTATCAGGCTCCCTCCTGCTTCTCTGTGACGTCATTCTCCAGGCAGTCACATTTGGTCACAAATTTTAAAAATAATGAAAAACTCTGAGCAGCATTGGCGGAGATATTTAAAATGGCCAATAAGGCCATTAAACATGCCAGTGAGTTGTCAAAGAACAAATTTTTAAAAAAGAAAAATACTAGTAAGAAGTAAATATGCCTTCTTCTTTATAGGTTTATTCTTTGCAAAAAATCATGGAATGCATGTGGATTAATGAAAATAAATCAGAATAGAGGAGAGAATTTTTCATTTTAGCTTTAAGACTTTTAAAACTGTATGATAAAAGTATCATACTGGGAAAACTACTTAACCTTTCTCAGCTTCCTCTAACTGTGTAAAGTGTGACCATAATAATAAACAGACCTTTCACGTATCGGGTTTGTTTTAGGTTAGATTTGTGGTCCCAAAGAACTTACACTTCTTGGCCTCTCAAGAATGCCTGTTCCCTAGCGTTTCCCTGGGTTCCAGAGCGAGGCACTTTGATCTTAACACTCAGTTCAGCGTTCCTAGCTGAATTTCTTAGTTACGCAGTTTGTCTGTGTCCCTGAACTCAAGGTATGTCCTTCTAAGTGCAGCTCGCTGTTTGCCATCCGCCTCCCATGTTTGCAGCCACTCGGGCTCTCATAGGCAGTGTCAGATAGTTGGCCTTCTTCATACTTTTTCGTGTGTAATTATCTATTTTCTAAAATAATTAAAAAATTCCAGCTACCTCCTCCTACCTTATTTCCCACTTCTTAGTGTTAGAATTTTTTTTTTTAATTAAAGAAATAAATTTAAATACCATTTAAAAGAATGGTAGTTCATGTTAATATTGCAGTGTTTACTGAATCAAGATTTTGGCAGGAAGACGGTTTATACTTGGGGATCCAAGAAAAGGACTTCAGCAGAAGGAAGTCATTGTAGCAGTGTTGGGAAGAGGGACCATTAGGGGCAGTGAGGTCACCCAGAGAGGAGCAACTGCAAGAGAGAGACTGCAGAGCGATGGAAGGTGCTGCTAATCCAGTGGGAATCTGAGCCACCGAGAAGAGGCTGCCCAGTAACAGCAGGGTCCATTGAGAAACCCAGGCTGAGCAAGTGGCAACAACATGTGTCTAGGGCTTTGGGCTCCTGACGCTCTCTTCTCTGAAGTACAAGCAGGACTAGGAACCACAGGAACTGGAGGGCAGCTTGTTAGCCTTGTGGTCAGGGTGAACCTGAGGGCAGCCTGAAGAGAACTGGCATGCCAGCAATCACATGCTGCTGACCAGGGTGGCCACAGCCTCTGGCTGATGGCAGGTTGCACTCCCTGGAAGTCATACCTAGCCAAATGTGAGAGTGAAGTAAGAGATGGGTTTAGGAAATTTCTGTGAAATGCAAATGGGGAAATATCCTTCACCTTCCTCTTTCTTGTCTCCTAGTGGGGTTGACAGACTAGCAAGGTTCAGAAAATAGCTTTTTCTAGTTTGGCAGACCATAGAATTGTGTCTTACTGGGGCTAAGTCTAAATGTGCTATTATTTCCCCTGTGAGAACCCCTTAACCACAGCTGCCTGGAGGATGAAGACAGTGTTCTCCACATGTTCACACTTAACCCAGTTACAGAGCCATCGCTGCTTGCTGCAGGGGAGATGACATCTGCAGTCCTCTCTGAGCTGAAATCGGGATGTATACTAAATTCTAGCCAACTTTTGGACTTCAGAGATTTTAAATTTAACCATTTTAAGAGTCATTTGATTTTTCTTAAAAAGGAATTTTACAAGACTTATTTAGAAGGAAATATATTTGTGAATTGTGTGCAGTGTCCTTGTTTCGGGGGAGTAGTTAGTTAACAATGGCAGTGACTCTGAGCACCTTTTATCTGAGTTGCAATCTGTAACATTCTTCCTACAAGCAGCTCCTTGCTTGGTCCTGGCAGCAAGTGGTGTTGCCCCAGGGTCAAAACAATAGCAGTGATAAAACCAAAGCTTCTGCCGATCATACATGCACAGGTAAATAAAATAGAAATAAAAAGAGTTAATCACCAGTCTAGACTTTTATTGTTATACAAAAGAGAAGCCAAGACTCAGTGCACCGGTGTGAGTGATTGAACACACTGACCACACAGCCGAAAGTTATTGGCATTTTTGATACTTAGATAGCTTTATCTTTTTAAATTTTTTCTTTGTACCTTAAAAAACATAAAGTAGGGACTGAGAGATGGCTCAGTGGTTAAGAGCATTGGCTGATTTCCAGAGGACCTGGGTTCAATTCCCAGCACCCACATGACAGCTCACAATTGTTTATAACTCCAATTCTAGGGGATCTGACATCCTCACACAGATATACATGCAGGCAAAACACCAGTTCACATTAAAAACAAATATTACACACACACACACACACACACACACACACACACACACACACACACACACACATTGTATATAAAAGTGCAAAAGGATATTTACTGCTTAGAACTCTTAATATGTAGCCATGCTTCAGAGCTAAACTCGTGTGTGACCCTTCTGTGCACAGTGCAAGCCTAACCTGTGTTGCTTTCCAGCCCCAGCACTGGATGTTGACTGGCAGAGCAACAACACCTTTGCATCTTGTAGTACAGATATGTGCATTCATGTCTGCAAATTAGGACAAGACAGACCTATCAAAACATTCCAGGGACACACGGTAAGAAGTCATTTCTCTCCTGTAAAATGATTATTTTGAGCAAGTAATATTTCAGAATAGTTTTTGAGTATGCATATTAAATAACAGCCTGTTCTATAAAATGAAAATATAAATATTTACTGCTGTTTTTAGAATGAAGTAAATGCTATCAAATGGGACCCAACTGGCAATCTCCTGGCCTCGTGTTCCGATGACATGACCTTGAAGGTAATTCTGGTAGTGCGTGCTTTAGGGTGGGGTGTGTTCCATATGTGGCTAGGCATTTTCAGGTGCATTTTTTTTTTTTTTTTTTGTTTTTGAGTCAAGGTCTCATAATGTAGCTCAGATTGCTCTGGAACTCAACTATGTAGACCAGGCTGGCCTTGAACTCAGAGTCTGCCTCCTGAATGCTGGGATCAAAAGCATGTACTACCTACCACATCTGGTTTAGGCTTTTTAAAATGTCCTTTTGATACTTAAAACCTAAATGGAAGACTTTTAGCTTTTTTATGGTTAATATTTTCCCCTTGGAATACTCGGATATGTGACTATCGTAAATTCTATTAATAGAATGGCTGTGCAGGTGTATTGTGCTGCTGTACTTGTCACAGTTCTCACTGGTAAGGAGGCAATAAGAGCATACATTAATCTATAAGAGACTTCGGAAGAAAATCTATACACACAGTCACGGAGGCTGGGACTTCCTATTTGCTGTCTTCAAACTGGATGCCCAGGAAAGCCAATGTCTTAGTTACTTTTCTATTGCTGTGCTAAGATACCATGACGAAGGCAACTTTTAGAAGAGTTTATTGGGATGAGTCCTTGACCACTGTGGCAAGGAGCATGGTGGCAGGCAGGCATGGCACTGGCCTATATCAGCAACTGTGACCGCAGAGAGAGAACTTAAATGGGAATAATGGGGTTTTTAAATCAGAAAGCCCACCCCAGTGATAACATAGTCCAACAAGGCCACACTTCCTAATTCTTCCCAAATAGTCCCACCAACCGGGGACCAAGCATTTAAATATATGAGCCTACCGGTGCTGTCCTCACTCACACCTCCACAGCCAGGCTCGCAGTTCCAGACTTGAAGCTCAAGGCCTGAGAAGCTGGAATGCCAGGGCTATAGGGTAACAGCTCAGTCATGAAGCTAGAGAAGATAGTGGTCGCTCTCTACATAAATACTGCCTGCCTATATGGAGAATGCAGTCTGCTGTGTCCTTTCTTACTGAGAAACATGGGCAAATAATACTTGGCCAAGTATCTGGATTCTCCATGACTCAGTCAAGTTGAGACAGGGTACTAACCATCCAGGAACACAAATGTGATGTGACTAAAAGCAAAACTTAATACCTTTCATACCACAGGAAGTGAAAACGTAATTGTCAAGTAAAGACTAGCCTAGTGCCAGTCTCTAGAATGACTGAATGTTTGTGCCTCCTTATGCCACACATGGTCTCCTGAAAACATTTTATCCTCAACCTTGCAGGATCAGTGACTGTAGTCACAACCCTTAAAAGTAGGATAGTCGGCCGGGCGGTGGTGGCGCACGTCTTTAATCCCAGCACTCGGGAGGCAGAGCCAGGAGGATCTCTGTGAGTTCGAGGCCAGCCTGGGCTA